CCGACTAGCCAGTATTTACTGACTACATTGAACAAATATATACAACAAATAGGTGGAGCAATGAAAGACAAATACTATAAATACTTCCCTCTCTTCAATATACAGCCACAAAACTGAAACAGAAACAGAGGGAGATACAATAGTGTAAAACTGATAAAACAAAAGTTATCACTATATCTATAATTGGCACACTCACAAGGATAGAGCCATAAAGTGACCTGGCTCTAGTCTGGATAGCAATAGGATCCTTAAGGGAGATCCAAATCCCACTCCAGTAGATGAGAAGGATGATGCAGGAACAAGAACTACTTCAAAAGTAATAATTAATTCCAGAAATAAAAGAAAAGCATAAAACAAAGTCCATATAATCACCAAAACGCGTTTTGCCAAATAGGCTTCCTCAGTTGGTGGATATTCCTCCATATAATCACCAAAATGCGTTTCGCCAAATAGGCTTCCTCAGTTGGTGGATATTCCTGGACATTGAACAAATGTTGGAGATGTCACACTGAACAAGGCACAAGGCACAATGAACCACATTTGGGAGCAGATAAAGCCTTATTGGCATATGGTGGAGGAGGGGGCATCGGCAGCTATAAGTGAGTCAGTTACACTCGCACCAGAGAGCAGCCAACTCTTTATGACTCTAGAAACATATACAAAAAACACAAGCCTGCTTACTATACCACATACGGATAGCGGCAAATTACTAAATCGCTAGAGCCTGGAAGCAAGCACACCCAACGACCCGGGACGCATTAGCCTGGCAAGTTTTCTTACATTTAGATTACAAAACAAGGATCAATAAACTTTTCCACCCTGCAAAACATATGGTGAAGGCGCAGACCAAGTGGGAGGAACATCTTCGGTCGAGGTGGTAGAGGGAGATTGGTGAAACAGATGATTAGAAAAAGTTGGAGTGGGAAAGGAGACTGGGAAAACCCCCCCTTTTTTTTTTTTTTAAATTCATGCTAAAACACATAACACCGCTGTTAGAAAACAAAGAAGGTGGAACAGTGCCGAGCAACTAAACAAAAAGTTATGGGAGGCTGTACTCCTGAAGATGGGGTATTCCCTCTAAACCCCAAGATAAGTGGAAGAACAAAGCAATGATGCAGGTTGCGCCAATAAATATTAGTTAACCTTTAAGAGCTAATAAAAATGCACTAAAAGTTAAAAATTTAAGTCCACGGTAAAATCAAAAATTAAATACCAGTTTGTAAAATACAGTCCTAAAAGTGACAATTCATCTTCAGACTTTCGTATGATGCTCTTTGGACAGTTTCTCTTAGTAGCAGCACACAAAACAGAGCAAAAACAGAATGAACCAATAGTGTAATATTGCAATAGAATGTGTGACATCCAACACTAAAATCTAAAAATGCCAATTCACATATACCAGAGCTATAACCAGCTCTGGATAAAACTGCATGCAGTGGTTTTATATTCCCATTTGCAGGATATCCCTCAGACGATGATTCACAACAGGGTAGCAGTGAGGTGGACCATATGAAACAAAAATAAAAGTCAATAGTGCTCCCTATACAGGTAAGTATAAACAATAGATGGAAATATACTTACAATAAAATGAGCAGACTAATCGCTCTGTATTTCAAAGTAAAGGGTATATACAGGTGATACTCGAAAAATTTGAATATCTTGCAAAAGTTCATTTATTTCAGTAATGCAACGTAAAAGGGGAAACTAATATATTAGATAGACGCATTACATGCAAAGCAAGATAGTTCAAGCCATGATTTATCATAAGTGCAATGATTATGGCTTACAGCTCATGAAAATCCCAAATCTACAATCTCTGTAGATTAGAATATTACATGCAATCAATAAAACAAGGAGTGTACATAGAACAATATCGGACCTCTGAAAAGTATAAGCATGCATATGGACTCAGTACTTGGGTTGGGCCCCTTTTGCAGCAATTACTGCCTCAATGCGGCGTGGCATGGAAGCTATCAGATTGTGGCACTGCTGAGGTGTTACGGAAAACCAGGATGCTTCAATAGCGGCCTTCAGCTCTTCTGCATTGTTCGGTCTCATGTCTTATCTTTCTCTTGGCAATGCCCCATAGATTCTCTATGGGGTTCAGGTCAGGCGAGTTTACTGGCCAATTAAGCACAGTAATCCCATTGAACCAGGCTTTGGTGGTTTTGGAAGTGTGGGCAGGTGCCAGGTCCTGCTGGAAAATGAAGTCAGCATCCCCATAAAGCTTGTCTGCGGAAGGAAGCATGAAGTGCTCCAAAATCTCCTGGTAGACGACTGCATTGACCCTGGACTTAATGAAGCACAGTGGAGCAACACCAGCAGGTGACATGGCTCCCCAAATCAACACAGACTGTGGAAACTTCACACTGGACTTCAAGCATCATGCAGTGTGTGCCTCTCCATTCTTCCTCCAGACTCTGGGTCCTTGGTTTCCAAATGAGATGCAAAAGTTGCTCTCATCAGAAAAGAGGACTTTGGACCACTGTGTAACAGACCAAGTTTGTTTTTCTTTAGCCCATGTAAGACGCTTCTGACGTTGTTTGTTGTTCAGGAGCGGCTTGACAAGAGGAATACGGCATCTGAAGCCCATGTCCAGGATCCCTCTGTGTGTGGTGGCTCTTGATGCACTGACTCCAGCCTCAGTCCACTCCTTGTGAAAGTCCCCAACACTTTTGAATGGCCTTTTCCTGATAATCCTCTCCAGGCTGCGGTCATCCCTGCTGCTTGTGCACCTTTTTCTTCTACATAACTTTCTATTAATGTGCTTTGATACAGCACTTTGGGAACATTCAACTTCCTTTGCAATTACCTTTTGAGGCTTTCCCTCCTTATGGAGGGTGTCAATGATGGTTTTCTGCACAACTGTCAGGTCAGCAGTCTTCCCCATGATTGTGATTCCTACTGTACCAGACAGAGACCATTTAAAGGCTCAGAAATCCGTTGCAGGTGTTATGGTTTACTTAGCTGATTAGAGTGGGATACTGTGAGCCTAGAATATTGCACCTTTTCACAATATTCTAATTTACAGAGATTGTGGATTTGGGGTTTTCATGAGCTGTAAGCCATAATCATCACAAATCACCGCTTGAACTATCTTGCTTTGCATGTAATGCGTCTATCTCATATATTAGTTTCCCCTTTTATGTTGCATTACTGAAATAAATTAACTTTTGCAAAATATTCTAATTTTTCGAGTATCACCTGTAAAGTAATCACTCGATCACAAGAAGCTATCCCGCAGGGGACACTTATAAATGGGCCGCCAACCATCACCACACAGCAACCGTCATTCACAGCATCTACCACACACCACCCCAACGGTCCCCGACACAATCTAAAATACCAGGTACATCTAACACCATGAACCTGTAAAGGCAAGGAGGAGACTACCTATGGGGGGGAAAAAACAGCTACTGATGAGAAAAGATCTCTTTATAGTATGAGAATGTGTAAACCTGTCTGAGTCTGCCAATTGCATGTGTTACTGTCTTGTTGTTACTACTCTTTGAAACATTGTGCTAAAAAGAAAACATATTAATCGTATTTCTCGTTTCATTGTCACCAAAACTTGTTGTAACCTGTGTATTAATAAAAATTGTCAAATTGTAATAAAATTTAAAAAAATTAAAAATTAAAAAAAAAAGTCTGATGGAATGATCCCTCTCGCTGTGCAGGTTAAAACACCTTCACAATATTGGTACGTTACAAAGTCAAGAATGATAAAGTGTCTGAATTAAGATCCAGTAACCTCTACACCGAGGACTGTGATAACCCACACCAGACCAAAAAGGGGATAACTGGGCTGGTTCTAGAGGACCACGAAAGTGGGTAATCGGTCACGTCCCCCACCATATTTATGTGAAAAGGCATCAGACAGAGATACAGCAAGAACTCAGATTAAATGCAATGAAATTACGTCTCAAACGAGAGTATCCATAGTGAATATAACTTCATGAAGATATGACAACCACAGAGCCTATTATGAGGAGTCCAGGACAGAGCTCCAGAAATTTGTATCCTGTCGACATTCAGGCCCCCCCACCCCAAAATTTAATAATTAGCATTTCAAAGTGTCAAAGTCACTTTTTGTCACTTGTCCCCTAGGAGGAGCAGATATTGTTAATGGATATAATCCAAAACTGCCCTCAATGCATTCCTTTGTCTGTGGTGCAATAAAGTTACAGCAGTTGGAGCACTGAAAGACTATACACATGTGGATTGTTCAACCATTATTGTGTGTACTTGCCACAATATGCCGACTGCAACAAGTTATGGGGCCAGAAGATATAATAGAAACCGATGGAGCAGGCTGTGTTTTGACAGAGATGAGAAGAACCACACGTTATAGGAGACAATTCTTAGGACATTCCTGAATCTTAAGGAAACCATCCTGAATGAAGTAGCGAATTCAATTTTTAGATGATAAGAGGCTGTCTTTAATAATGAAGGAGGCACGGATGATAAAGTGCTTTGAATATTGAGAGATTATTATGCAAGCAAGGGAAAGAAGAGTCAGTTTATATACTGAGTTAACGTCCACTCAGAAAGGCATAAATGAAAGTGTGATGGTATATGTTACATGTGCAGAGACAGCCATTATAGCATTAAGAAATGTAGGAGAAATATTTAGTGATGGATTGCTAACTGAAAGGTGTGCTAAAATCGTTTAAGCCGCTTGTCATTTGTATAATGCAAGGTGATGCAAAAGTCCCTTTTTAAGAGTTTAAGATACAGTAAGAAGTTTGGAAGATAGAGAAAAGTACTGTGCTAGCTCAAATGATGATAGAATGTTACGAGTGAGCAACATGAATCCTAGGTACAAAATGAAGGACAATCCTAATATTGTTTGTTACAATTGTGTCTAAAGAGGGCAGAAGGCACAGGGCCAGAGCGTGGGCCAGTAATCAAAATGGCGGACACTCATTGTGGTTTATCTACTGTAATGGCTCAACACACAACGATAGAGACTGTAGGGCATGCTTCCCCAAACTCTGGCCCTCCAGATGTTGCTGAACTACAACTCCAATGATTCTATGAATGAAATAGATAGGCTGAGAATCATTGGAGTTGTAGTTCAGCAACATCTGGAGGGCCGGAGTTTGGGGAAGCCTGCTGTAGGGGCAAGAAAAGAGAGAATGTTAAACAAGCAACAGATAACAACGATAACAGACACTCATATGGTTTCAAAATTAGAGATGACCAACTTAATGGGATAATATTGACCAAAAGGGCCAATTAATCCCACAGGGACAACAGCCGACATGATTACTAACATTGAAAAGTTCAAAAAATTTAAAAACAGCTTTAGGCCAGAGAAACATTTTATGGAGCTTGAGGATGGGAAAGGGGCAGCGATTCTGTTATTGAAGAGAGGTGATGCAGAGATTTGACTAGTAATGGAAATCAAGGGGCAGCAACACTCTAGAAAGCATTGACAGGCATACTGACACGCACACAGACACACACATATACTGACAGACAACCTACTGACACACACAGAAATACATTGACAGACATACTAACACATCCACACTTTTAAATCTATTTCCCATTTCGTACCTTGAAGGATTGCTTCCCTGGTGTCCAAAGTTGTGGCTGAGCCTGCTGCGGATTGCAGTCTGGCAATACAGACCAACCCTCTCCTCTCTGCTTCCCTGGTGTAGTCTCTCCCGCGCGGCTCTCTGGGAGGAAGTGACTCACGGCAGTCACTTCCTCCCATGCTGCCAAAAAGCAAAGGGGCTGGCCTAGTCATGCTGTTTAAGGGCCACAGTGCGTGACAAACGCCAACCGGCTGGCCCTTAGTGCACGGGCCACCCAGTGGGCCTCCTTAGCGTGCGTCCCCAGAATGCACCGGAGGCCCATGGGTGGAGGGGGGGGGGGGAGAAAGATGTCGAGGGCAGCGGGGCCCACGGGGCAGCTACCTTGCTCCCCTAGAAGTAAAAGGGCCCGCGGCAGCTGCCCCCTTTGCACCGCATTAAAGATGGCTCTGAATATGTGTATGCAACAAAGAAGAAAAAACCTGATGGATGGGGCGGGGCCTGACCGCAGCATCGAGCAGACGCTAATCATCACAGCTCCTGCAACCATTGCCAGAAAAAACGCCACAAAGCCGCTGAAACAGCTTTTAAAAGCCAAACAAAGGTCACCAGATGACGGGGGCTGCCAGGGTGGACACAACGATACCCAACAAGTGACTAACTACCCGGTACGTGCCTGACACACTGGCGAGGCCTACCAGAAGAGCAGGTACAGGAGAGACGGACGCTTCCCCGCAGCTTAGAATGCCTGGAAACTTAACACAGAGCCCGCGTTCCCCCCCCCCCTGGACCGGTGGGGGTCATCCCTGTCCACACAAGCAAGTGTACAAGCACTCACCAGAATACACGACCGCGAAGCACAGAGGCCACAAGTGGAGCAGGCAAGATGGCGCCCAACCCACAGACCTCAGCTCTGCACATAATTGAGAGGGAAACTAAACGCCGATACGACCGCATCTTCGGTGCCCTCTGGGAGAAGCTGGTGGCCCTGATGCAGTCCCCCCAAAAGGGATTCCCACCTGGCAACATGAGGCAGGGTCCACAGCATGGAAGCACAAGGGGAGAAAGGGCGCACCCCCGGAATCCCACTCGCAAGAAGGGTAACCCAGTAACCTGGAACTGCACAAAGGCCACTCACAGCCCGCACAAAACGACTGAAACACAAGAGACACTCAAGGCACAGCTCCAAAGGCGGCCTTACAGATGTGCAGAGACCCGACCTAAACTCCAGAGGGGCCCAGACTGGACGAGAGGACAGCAGAAGGAAAAGCATAAAATGGCTGCCATGAAACTTCCATACCAATATGGCAATGACAGTCGACCACACCAAAAAATATGCAACACAGCCAAGACCCTGCGCTGCCTGCAAGGTGAACCTGCCCTCTACAGGGGCGCCCTTACTCACCACACGACCGGAATACAGAACATGGGGCAAGTGATCAGAGCAGACCACGATCCGACAGGGTCGCTGCCCGGCGTACGAAACCGGCACAGAGCCCATGCACAACCAACGAGGGAGGGGACCCCGCAACGCTCCGGGCCCACACGCCAATCCTTCAGAGCTGGTGTCGGCTGACCAAGGCGGACTGACCCAGAGACAATCTGCGTCCATGCAGGCCCTACAGCAGAGACACTGCAAGATCCCACATCGCAGTATGTCTCACAGTATGGCCCTGGCAAATCGCAGCAGAGACTGTTAGTTCAGTATAGCAGCAGTGGAGCAAGCAATACAGTATATTAACCACAGGCAATTAGCTCATTCACTATAGATCATATAGCAGCTACTCATCCATTGCAAATGTATTCTCATGCATGTCAGTATTACCTTTTAAAAATGTGCAGACTCCACTAACAACTTTCAGATGTTACGTCTACTAACCCACTCAAGACCTTCAAAGCGTCTTACCCTTGTTTTTATGCAGGGCATCATTATGCTTAGAGAGTATAGAAACATGACTACACAACGTAGGCCAACTCTAGCAATGTTAACTTCTGTTTGGTGTTTCTTAGCTTAAATACACATAGTTTAACTTTTAAATGTATTATTTCATTTAGTAACTGCTAAAATGTAAACCGTGCTTATACAGTATGACAACGATAGCATAGCAGAACTAGCATTAATAACTAATCGTCAGTTTATATCATTGTATGTTAGCTAATCTTACTTCATCAATCTGTCTAATTAAGCATGCTTTAAAAAACATAAAATTGTGCGAATTCTCATGCCACTGTCAAAATGTTCTATATCTTGCAATATGCTGTTGTGGCGACTGTTAATATGATGTACCCACCTGCACAACAAAAATAAAGAATTAAAAAAAAAAAAAAACCTGATGGATGAGAAAAGTATAAAGCCAGATATTTTGCTTAAGGTTACAATCAAGTAAAGGAAGTTGATTGCGAAGAAATATTAATGCAAGTATCAGCCCAATATGACTATTGTGAAATATACATGGAACAGCCAAAAGGTTTTGAGTTCAAGTCCAAACAGAATGGGAAAAAAAACTATTTTCAAATTGAACGAGACATTATATGGTTTGAAGCAGTCAGGCAGAAATTGGAACATACTCCGTGACCATTTTAATGAAAATACGTTTGAACAGAATTCTGCAGACCAATGCGTGGAAATGGAAAAGTGATAATGATAATATGGGTAAATAATCTCATCATAGGTGCCAGTAGTGAAACAATACTCAAGGATGTAAAATTATCGACTTTGAACTAAGAGTTAGTCTAGTAAAGATGAACCAAAGGATATACATATGAAAGATTCTGGAGAAGTTTAGTATGACAGATTGTAAACCCAAATCAACAAGTTGAACAAGTAAACTATCACAACACTTGTCAGAACCAACAAAGAAACTTATGGTCACAGCTAAACATGTTAAGTGATACTTAAAACATACCACTTAAACAAGAATGTCAAACTCAAAGGCTAGCACGGGCCACATAAACAAGGTTAAAGTTTATGGGGGCCGCAAAAAAAAAACCAAAACCTTAAATTTTCATAGAAACGTAGGTTTGTTTTGAAAAGTACAGTATTTTAAAAAAAAAGCATCCCACTCTACTTAACCCCAGTTCCCCACACCCCCCCTCTATACTAAATCCCAGCACCCCTTCTACTAAATCCCAGTGTCACGATTCTGGAACCTAACACGCTAACAGGTCACAGAGAGTAAGGGCCTCTCCCTGATCTTTTCTCGGAACTCAGTCTTCCTGCTCCCTCATGCGAGCAGTTTAGTGATGCTGGGTGACAGAATTACGTCACTATAGAGGGCGCGTGCAAGGGAGCAGTGAGGAGCAGGAAGACTGAGCTCTCTCGCTGCCACCAGGGACCTCTCCTCCCCGGCCGGGTAATTTTGGCAGAGTGGGCACCTGCAATGTGGGGACAGCAGGTGCCTACTCTGCTTTATTAAGCATGGCAAACTTGTGGCTCGTTGGGCCGCAAAAATATTCATTGCGGACCACGAGTTTGACATGCTTGCACTAAAAGGACACGACAGGCACCCAGACCATCTCAACGTAGTGTACCTGACACCCTTAGCCCCGCAATGTAAAACAGAAAATATATATGTATTACAAAAACAAAGCACAAACATATACTATTTTCCATGTAATCTTTTATCTTAAAGGGATACTATAAGTGCCAAGAATACAAAACTGTATTCTTGGCACTATAGCTCCCTCTGCCTCCCCCCTCCCTCCCGCCCCCTGCCCAGGTAAATAAAGCATTAAAAACCCTTTATTTACTTACCTTTTCCCATCGCCCATGTCCCGTGGTGCTGGGCTGACGCTTTGCCCCCTCCGATGGCCCGCAATGAGCAGTGCTAATGCGCGGCAAATGCTGCTCGCACATAAGACCTCCCCATAGCAAATCAGTAAATCAATGCTTTCCTATGGGGAAAAATCTGATCCTGGATGTCCTCATGCAGAGCGTGAGGACGTCCAGCGTCAGATACCAGACCAAAAGTCTGTTTGAATTCAGGAAGCCCTCTAGTCACTGGTCTGGTAGACAGCCACTGTGGACAGACTTAGAGCTGCAATGTAAACATTGCAGTTTCTATGGAACTGCAATGTTTAATATTGCAGCATTAAGTGCAAAAGTTACACAGCACCCAGACCACTTCAATAAGCTGAAGTGGTCTGGGTGCCTATAGTGTCCCTTTAAATTAGGGATCGACCGATTATCGGTTTTACCGATATAATCGGCCGATATTCGGTATTCTCGGCAATATCGGTATCGGCTAATTCAGATACCGATATTGCCGATAATACCTCCTAGGACCGCCAGGCTCATTACAAGCCCGGCGGTCCTGGGGGGGGGTGGGGGGCAGAGAGCAAGCTATTACTTACCTCCCAGCAGCTCCTCCAGCTCCCCAGTGTAACTCTCGTGAGACCCGCGGCCGTCAGAGCGTTGCCATGGATCACCATGGCAACGCTCCGCGCGACACGCTGGCCGCGAGAGTTGCACTGGGGAGCTGGAGGAGCTGCTGGGAGGTGAGTAATCGCTTGCTCTCTGCCCCCCCCAGCTCAGCCAATACCACTGGACCACCAGGGACTGTCATATCCCCCCTCCCTGGCCAGGCAACAAGCAGGGAGGGGGGACAACAAAAATAAATAATAATTAATTAAATATAAAAATAATAATTTAATAAAAAATGCCCCCTCACACACTCCATTATATACACATACACTACACAAACACACTGTGTATATAATGCAGTGTGTGTGTTTGTAAAGTGTGTGTGTGTGTGTGTTTGTATACAATGCACACAAATACACTGCATTATATACACACACTATACAAACACACACACACACTGCATTATATACACACACTATACAAAAACACACACACACAGTGTGTTTGCATAGTGTGTGTATATAATGCAGTGTGTTTGTGTAGTGTGTTTATATAATGCACACTACACAAACACACTGCATTATATACACACTATACAAACTCACACTCTGCATTATATAAACACACTACATTCACTATACAGACACTACACAAATACACACACACTCTGCATTCATTATATACACACACACTTTGCATTTAGTATATACAGCATTCACTTTACGCACACTACCCACACACTACACAAACACTCTGCTTTCATTACATACACACACTAATACACACTGCATCCACTACACACACTAGACAAATACACACTGCATCCACTACACAAACACACATTGCATCCTCCACACACACTACACAAACACACACTGCATCCACAACACACACTACACAAACACACACTGCATCCACTACACACACTACACAAACACACACAGCTCCCCTGTCACACTGCATCCACTACACGTGGCATGTATATTTTGTGCATTTACCTTTAGAAATAGTTTTTATTTTCCAAAATGGTAAATGTACAGAATATCGGCAAATTATATCGGCTATCGGCCTGAAAGTTCACAGAATATCGGTATCGGCTCTAAAAAATCAATATCGGTCGATCCCTACTTTAAATGACAGCAAAAAAAAAAAAAGGATGATAGTTAATTACAGAATATTAAAGGAAAACTAACTGTAGCACCCAGTTTATATTTTATAATTATTGAGATCACCTTTTGGAAGTATATGACGATATTTTTTTTTTATTTTTTTTTGAGGATTATGTTTGCTAATCCATCCACACACATTATTTGCCTGTAGCTCATTTCTCTCAGCACTATACAAACCAATTAAGCTTTTTACTCCATTAAGACTAAAACAATCCCTGCAACAAGAATCCAAACCCTCATCGTGTTCTGTCACTGAAATGTACCTCCTGTGGATATAGTTTGCAGTAAAAAGCACTTCTTAATTCCTTCCCTCACAGCCACCTTACTCCTAAGTAACGTGGATTGTTTAACAGGCGGCAAAAGTCTTTCTGTCTATGACCTTTAACTGTCCTTTTTCAGTATACAATGAAACTTGCTTACTCATCATGATTATTTCAGGAGGAAAAAAACTAAACTTTTTATTGCCTAGGGTGTCCTGTCTTTAAAGACTGATAGTGAAGTATATGAACTTTCCCCGTGCTTTCCGTGCTATGAAACTGCTTTTATCATTCACTTTTTTCTTCATTTCTCTCTCTGGTCCTCAACCCTGGCTGTCCATTTTCTCTAATGTTACATAAAACAGTTCTTTTGTCCTTAGGCCAGAATCACAACACTTTTCGGAGGTTAGTCAGAGTTGAGAGCGTGAAATCAAATTTGGAATGTACAGAGATGAGCAGAACACCAACACCGGACAAAAAAACAAACCTATACTTTCTTCCTCAAAATAAAAAGGTAAAACTCTGATGAAGTTTGTAGGTTTTACACAAACTTTCAACTTTCTGGATAAATGCTGATTTCCAACCTAATCTCTGAAAACTGAGGAACCAGTTGGGCTGTCTCATTGCTGCTAATACTGAGATACTAATTTTGCCATGAAATTGGTACAGGAAACATTGATAGGGTTTTGCCCTGTTGACTCTCTGCCAGAGCAAGTCACCCTCTGCATGTTGCATAGAGGGATTGTTAGCGACTAAGGCTGATGTCTGGAGGTGCTCTGCATCTTAAAAGAAGACTCCAAACACCATAACCATTCACTGTAATTATTGATTCAAGAGTGCCGTGACAGCTCCGATCACCAATGAGCTGGCCATGGCCATGAAGCTCCATATAGGAATTTATGGCTCAATCTAGAAAACTTCAGGTTAAAAATCAAACCGCCAGTCTATTAACATTGTAGGGGAACTAGTGGTTTATGGTGAGTGAGTGTCTCTTCAAATATGAATCATCATTCATCTTTACACTAGTTGCAATAGTTTAGTGCCTTTTTAAAGAGGAACTGTCACATCCTTAATTTTAGCACAATCTGATAGCTTACTAAAAGTTAGCAATAGGTTCTACTAAATTTATTTAAATTGCATGACAGTCTATAGCGTCATGCAGTGAAAAGCTTTTACACATTTTGACGGCATAAACCATCATGCATTAGGGGTACCAGCAGTGTTAAAATCCTGCTGGTACCAAGGAGCCCAAGGCATCTTTCGATGTCTGAGGATCCCATCTGTCAATTAGGGTCACAATTAGTGGCCCAAACTGACAGATGATAGAAGTGCTGAACAAAGTCCTTTAAATCTATTTAAATACCACAGCTAAGTGATCACACTTAGACACAGCAATTCTGAGTCTGCCACAAGCTTAAAACAGGGAGTCCCAGGTATCTTTCAATACCTGAGGGATTGCCTCTGACATCTGGAGCCACCACTAGATGCAGATGGAGCTATAAGCAGCACTCAAAATGAAAAAAAAAATGTAAATGAAAAGTGTAAAAATGCTCTTCGATAAAAAGTTAGAAAGCCGGTGGGCTGTACCTTCTACAAATTTATACTTGTATAGCAGTTTTGCATTCTGTGACTACTATATAAATTGTAATCTCAGCATGGCATGGCAAGTTTTGCAAAGTTATAGTTTTAAATCGTAATTCACTCCTTGCAGTATTTGTTTTAGAACTTCAAAAAATGTATTGCAAACCTAGACATGTTGGGTATTTTAACAATCAGGAATAATTAGTGTATTTAATGCGAGTTAGTTTTATTTAGTTGCACGTGTGTACAAATTATTAGATGCAAAACGAGGAAAAATATTGTGTTTAACCCATTTTGTAATATTTTATTCATATTTATTATTGTGTTATCTATACATATAGGGTACCAAAAGAAAGCCATATTTCACCTTTAAAAAAAGTATATATTGCATGTATGGTGCAGACACCACTCCTGAAGGAAATGCTGAGTGGTATACTCATACTTTTTTAACCTCTGCTCTGTTATTCACCCTAACAAATTCTGAAATAACATTTACCAGTGTAAAGGAATATAGAACTTCGAGATCAGTGACAGTTCCGTTTGAGACAAGTGTGAGATCGGTGACCATTCCATTTTTTTAAGGTTAGTTTGAGGTCAGTGTGTAGCGGTTACCCCGTGTAGCAGAGGGGTTTCAACCGCTGGAGGGTGTCCTTTTCCCGATCAGTGAGGAGGATTCTCAGCATCCAGTCATGATCAAAGTGAAGAAGCTCTTACAAGCTCTTACAAGAGCTAGTGTGTGGGATCTGTTACACAGTGAAATTCTAAGGCTAGTTTAAAATCAGTAACAGTTCTGTTTTAAGGCTAGTTTGAGATCAGAATATTTTCGATACTTTACAAATTTTCACTGCAACTCCTTTCGAGCATACTTAATACACAGTTTGTGACATTTTAAAGTCTGTGCATTACTTGTATGTGCCACTTGATGTGCTCTTGTCTTCTCTGCTTCATGTGGTCTTTGATGTGATCTATATTCTCCACTCTCTTCTTTAGCTGGCTCTACCAAACATGTCCTCCCCATTGACAATCTGACTGCATGTATTGCAATGGTTAGTATTCGTGCTTGTTTCTGGCATCATTTTATTAAAAAAATTTTTAAAAAAATACGTTTCAGTATGTTCCCATGTTTCAGGCTCCTTTTAGCTGGTATCACTCCAAATCTCAGGGTAACCGTAATAGCAACTCCTAGCTTCAAATAATGTGTTTGGACTACTGTGGACAACACCACATCCAGCTGGCCTGATGTGCAATGTTTTGGTATTCCTAGCTTCAGACAACAGCTTCGGTTACATTATCAAGTGTAACAAATAGAATTAAATGTAGAAATAAAATTTTTTTTTATTAATTATTTTAGTTGTGCAGATGGTCACAATATTTCAACAAGCGCCACAACAGCGTATTTCAAATTTCATACAAGTTAGAAAGTGGCATGATAATTTGCACAATTTTCATGTTTAACATGCATAACTAAACAGTTGATTTGTCCAAGTAAGATTAAATGAAATAAAATAAAGTAAAGATGCTGGATGCTTAATATTGCTAAGTCGCCTATGCTATGGTAGATATAGCGTGAACACATTCTAAAACAGAGCAGTATCTGGTTACAAAATAAAGCATAGTAACGTTATGCTATGAACGTTTAGGCTAGGGAGCGTTATATTGTGAGTAACATTGCTAGTATTTGCCTATATTGTAGGTCAACATCACTATCCTCTCTAGGCATGATTAGTCTGTGTTACAACAGGTCATCACTGAGTAGTAAACCACTGGGAACAAGTGTAGTCAGAACTATCATGTTAAACACCGGTTAATGCTGGCATGGGTGTATAGTCTGCATAGGATATGCATGAGGTCTCTGAGTCTGAGTGTTTCATTACCGTGTGGGCTTGGAACAGTCCAGGCTAAGAGGGCCTGTGTACGGCGATGTAATGGGTGCTTCAGCCCCTAGTGCTTGTAAGTCCCGGATTCTGTTTCCCTCTGTATCTCCGTTGTTGCCCCTTGGCTTGCTGGCGTTGCTTCGGGAGCCGGCTCTGGCGGTACCCCGTGGGATATGTTGCTGTGCTGTCGCTTGTGTTGCATCGTTTTTTTGTGTAGCATCGGATCTTGCTGCACTGGGAGCCGGGATGTTGGACAGGTGAGACTCTTGTTTGCTTTATTTGCTTCGTATTTCCAGGTGTTTTAATTTGCGAGTGGGAGAGTGCGTCTGATGTGCCGGTCGCCATTTTTCCTCTCTGGGCCCACTGGTATCTGTAGTGTCGGACAGCCATTTTGGATGCTCGTGGGGTTCGTTATAATAACTGCGTCGTGCTGCAAGCCGAATCCATGCGGTTACCATTATCTCCGCTTGGCGGTAGGTCGCTCCTCTGCAGGGTTTCCCTAAAGCTTGTACATAGGTGGTCAAATGTCTCCAGGGGGGACCTGGGTTGTTGGGTGCGGGTGCTCTGCTCTCTGTGCTTACGCTGGGATTGGCTTGTGGGCAGTTTACCCCAGTATGTCTTGTGGCTGACGCGTCTGCTTTTCTTCCTGGCCGTTGTGTCCAGTAGGGACCGGGATATCCCACCAGTCCAAAGGGGGGGGTTGATTGAGTGAA